AAAAAAAAAAAACACAATATATACATGAACATGCTGATATGCTAAAGTCTGGAGCCTGAGCCATTTCCTCGTCTGTGGGGTAATATCTGGCAATTGTCATATTTAATGTGGAGTTTGGGGCTGGTGTTTAAAACGTCGCAAAGCAATTAAGGAATGCGCTGGCATCATCACGCAAGCAGCTTCGAAATTACCCAATGGTCCAGCAAGAAAGCAATGACCCGGCCATATTGTTATTGTTGCAGCTGCACTTGCAGTTGCAGTTGCTGTTGCTACTGTTGTTGTTGTTGTTTTTCGCTTACAAAGCGGAGCAATTTGCGTTGCATTGCAAACTCATAAAGTAAACGTTCAACGGGTTTGCACTTTCATTGTGCACGACTCGAGCGGGTCGCCGCGGTGCTGGAGGAGACGCGCCCAATTCCCCCAGCCGATTCGGCGAACCACTTGGCTTATAAATGCCAGCCGCATCCAGGCGCTCGCTGCCAATTGACAACGTTTGCTTACCGGATTTACAAGCATTTCCGTTGCATGCCACACGAAAGTAAAAGCGCTTTCCAGCGAGCCCGCCTTATTCGACTCGCAGCCACAACAACTGCTGGCCTTCAATCGTGACCGCGCATTAGATACGTTTCGCCTGTGCTCCACGCAGGACGTCCTCCTCGGTTAACGCGCACGTAGCCGTAGTCGTGTAAGTGTCAGCAGCAGGGCAACGAGCCACTGCAGATTGTGGCTATCTGTCAACTTGAGTGATTACTGTGTTTTCAAATCTTGCCACCGTCCAGTTATCTGTGTGTGTGAGTGTGTAAGTGTGTGCTGCAAGGTGGTTGAGGCGGTGCTCGCCTTAAAAGCAAACTGGTTCTGCTCTCCCAATCGCTGCCAGAGCTGACTGACACACTTTAGTAGCCAAAATGGCATTCTATAATTTCTCTGATTGCATAAAAGGCAAAGCTCAATTGGAGTTGGCTTCCAGATTATTCTATGGCAACCGTTAACTATTAGTTCATTTCAAGTGTGTAATATATGCTGTGAATATCGAATATCGAAGGCAATATTAAGGCCATAGCTTCATCCTTTTGATACCACTTAAAAATGGGAAGTGAAGAAGAAGAAGAAGAAGAAGTTGTGTTCTTTCATTCAAATCTATATACATATGAGACTGGTAGTATAAAAGCTTGACTTTTGAGTTTCTTTTATGTTCGACGCTTCTTCCTTAGCATAAGTTAATATTCACTATCCTTTAGTAATCAAAAACTTCAACAGTTTCTAAACCATTTCTATCTAGGAACCAGGACCAAAAGTTGTTAAATGTATTTTTACAAAATTCTATATTAAATTATGTATGTACAGAAAGATGCCATAGATCAGACTATGATCATATTCATAAATTGGTTTTGTATTGGATATATGTGTGTATATATACCAAAATTCTGGTATGTACTTGGAAAAAAAAGCTCATTTATCTTCTAGATAGTCATTGCCAATCTCGAGTATTTTAAGCTATTAATTTATTAAGTATAATTAAGAGATATTAATATTTCTTTTTTATTAAATTTATGTTTTATTTGCGATCTGCTAAAAAAATAATAATAATGTTGGGATTAGTTTTACATAGGCGGATGGTTTGACCTCCAGTGAGCTCAATAATGCTACATAAGTTTGTTATAGCATTATATATACATATGTCATTGTTAAGTTGTAATAGTATTGCTTATTATAAGATCACTAAAAAAAATATTTTGTTCATGTAATTTCTGCCTCGAAAAATCAGAGATGTTACGGTTTGAAATTGCTATACATATATGGTATTTTTACTGCCTGCTGATATAGATAGTGCAAATATTACTAACAATAATAATTAAAGTAGCCAGTAATAATACCCATAATAAACACTTTACCTAGTCCAACTCACATCCGCAAAATCAATTTGCGAGATGTAAATTTTGATTTCAAGGCTCAGCAAAAGGTGTTATGAAACTCTCATTTTTTCGTGACTGAACCTCACAGCGACGTCGCTACGTTGGGTATTGTGTTTAAATCAAAGGCTTATCTTCACTAGCTGACATTCG